CCATCCGCCGCGTTATTGGTCAGATGTCATGTGTACCAAAAACTTAATTTTGCGAAACAAATGTCCTACTAATTATCCCCAAAATATAACACGATAAGAAAATGAAGCCTATTGTTTAAAAGCGATCAGTTGTTACTAGATGCTTTGTTCTTGCGCGCACTACTTTCTGGCGGCACTTGTGTACATTCTGTCTGAGGAGGCCATACGGTGGCGTGGCCCAGTGAGGCTCACTTAGGGTTTGTGTAGGTAATAGAAGGTAGGTTTGGGGCTTCAACTGTCACCTCCTGGGCTGTACACGAAGGCGAGGGGAGTTGTACACATTGAGGCCTTGCTGGACAGAAAAGCCCAAGATATCCACAGTCAAAAGGAATAACGGATAGAGCTGTGCAGACAATGAAACTCCTGTTAAAACACTGAGAGCGAATAACAAAGACCCGTTTCTCGCGCTGCTGGTTGAGAGGTTCGTGGAGCAGTATCCGGCAGTGCTGAGCAGAGCGCCACTGCAACTGCATGCGTGCCTCAATGGAGAAACAGCGGCCGAGCAACCTGGCACTCATGCATATCCACTACGACAAAGACAAATCTGGACAAAGTATTCGATTGCTTTGCGCAACTCCACCCCGCCAGACTAGAACTGGACAGCCTGTTACTCCGCTAGGACAATTACATGTAGTTTAAGAGTCTAAGTTAAGAGTTAGATTGTTGAGACTGCTAAGGCTGTTATAGTTATAAGGTTAGAACATACATGTACTTATACCTGCATTAGGCCACTTTAGTGATGAGAACTGAATTAGGTATTAGGATTGCCCACGCATACCATAGTAATCGAGACCAGATGGTTACCCTCCTACAGTCACTGTATATGAACACCACTTAGAATACAGTCGTGTGAAAAGTCCCTCCGTGTGAGATTGATCACTAAAAACACTTCAACTGGCGACGAGGAGTAGAAACGACACGGGGTGGTACTACTGCTGAAGAAAGGACGACAGGTGAAGACAGAAGTGGATCGTCGCGGCCAGCTCTCCAGCCTTACTCCGCATCCTCCCAGGTGCCATCACAGAGCGGTACTACTGCTGAAGAAAGGACGACAGGTAAACACAGAAGTGGATCGTCGCAGCCAGATGTCCAGCCTTACTCCGTATCCTCCCAGGTGCCATCACAGAGCGGTACTACTGCTGAAGAAAGGACGACAGGTAAACACAGAAGTGGATCGTCGCGGCCAGCTCTCCAGCCTTACTCCGTATCCTCCCAGGTGCCATCACAGGGCAGTACCACTGCTGAAGGAAGGACGACAGGTAAACACAGAAGTGGATCGTCGCGGCCAGCTGTCACCTCTTCCTCCTCCTCCTCCTCCTCCTGCTGGCAACCATGGGATCTCGGATGGTCCAGGCCCGCTGTCCTTGACGATGGCCGTAAGTTTCAATAAGACTATCTACCAAGTTACAGGCATTGTCTCTTATACAACAGTTTCATCTTACATGTCTGTTTGTGGTTACAATGTAATAAGTACAAGTCTTGCAATGTTTCATGAACGTGCTGGCGTCTCTTAGGGATACTAACCCTAATGATTTTTGGAATTTGGTAACCCAGATTTAGGCACTTTTGGAATCGGAATGTACATGCAGTTAAATGCCTTTTTTTATTGCATTTGGCAGTATGACTTCTACAACTCTGGACATGCTGAATATGCTTGATGAGATCAAAGAAAACTTAAAGTGTGTTATATGGTAAGGCTTTTTGTTATGTTAATTATCATTACAATTGTTTTGGACCATAGTAATAAAGATATGCAGTCTGATTCACTCTAAAGCAGGCAAGTTCACAGTCTCAAATGAGCTCGCTGAATGTGACAGGAAATGACTAGACATATTTAATTTAATGACTGTATATCAGTTCTTTGTCAGTAGTCTTATGCAAAGCCATGGTATCAATTTTGCTCATTTTCTTCTCCAAGTCTCAGCCTGCTGCAGGACCCAGTGGCATGCCCCAATGGACACAGCTTTTGCAGAAGATGCATCTTAAGATGGCTAGAGGACGACTTGAATACTTGGTGCCCTCTGAGCAGGCAGCCATTGACTCCAGAACAGCTTACCGTCTCTGGGCTGAGTAGACTGCTAAAAACTGCCTTGGTGAAATGCCCAAATGGAGGTACTAATAATTACAGTATACTAATTTTCTGTCATTCGAAAAGCTCCTCCTTTAAGCGCTCACGACGCCAAAATATTACCTTATCTAATTGTTGTTGACATAACAGACACGTTTACAATAAATATACACGACTCTCCTGTGCTATATAGAATGTCAATGCTCCGCCTCGGAAAGGCATTACTTTAACTTGAAAATCTTGTATTTGTTTAATGTACATGATGAATTGGAAGGTTTCAGGAGGATTGGCAATTCCTTAAAAACAATAACATTGTAAATTGTATGGAATGTAGAAGTGGACAGATTTTGGAGTTGAAAAAGGTTTAAAGTTGAAAAAGGTATTCTTTATAGTAATACCACTTATTAAATGAAGAAATTGATAATTGGATATGTTGCTTTTTATTCACAAATGACGTGACAAAAGACAATATCATTTCAGGGACAGTGGCTCATCCTTCCTGGAGGTCCTGTTCCAGGACTGGGTGAGGGAGGGCACCGTCATTCGGCTGGATGTGCGGCACTGGCTTCAGCGTTGAGATGCCGTCGTAATAAAGCAGAGCCATTCCAAGTACGTCGCACCCATGCCATATCCCGACAGGTATGACAACCCAGAGGAGGAGGAGCTTCTCTGGGTCCAGTACGCCCTGTGTCAGTCCACCAACATCACTGTTGCAGATTACTATGCAGAGAAAGGTAGTACATTCTTTCACATGTATACTAAACCAATGAGAAACATTATTAAAAATTAAAGGTTTAACTATCTTGTCACTTCATTATTGCAGGCTAGAAGAGAAGAAGCCAGCATTGGAGAGGACCAGGCCCATCCTGCCCAAGTCTGCCACATATCCCCCGCCTCGAGTACTAGTAGTGTCTGCAGCACCTGTGCTCCTGGTGGTTCCTGCGCAGCCACAGGCCCCAACCATGGTGCTTCAAGGGGCTTCCTGTGTACCCCAAGCACCACCTCCTCCACTGCAAGCAAAACCGGTCAAACCTCACAAGTCCAAGCCCTGTGCAGCATGCAACTTGCCACAATGCGGTGGGCAGAGGAAGCTGTACACTCCGTCAAAAAACATAACAGCTGGAAGCAGTCAGAAGATGTTCACGTACTGTCCAGTAACTACAAAATCAGTTAACGCTGGGTTCGAGGGTGTGGTCTACACAGATTATGATCACTTCAAAACTGTGGTAGACGGGGTGTTGGAAAAGAGGAGAGCCAGCAGTGAGCACGGCACTACACAGTGAAAGATGTGTTCTTTTGCATTTCAATGACCTTTTATGCTTGTCTTTAGAAGTAGACAAACAACTCTGTATATATTCTGTTACTACATTTTAATGGCAACTCCTCCTGGCTGTGTGAGATGCTGCAGCACACTTGGAGGGAATCAGGTTCCATGTCAGAGCGTTTGTGTCGGATGGGGCATCACCCAATCGGAGGTATGTTAGATGTAATTGTTTTATGTTGTACATGATGAATTAGGAGGTTTCAGGAGGATTGGCAATTCCTTAATAACAATAACATTGTAAAGTGCATGAAATGTAGAAGTGGACAGAGATGACCATTAATAAAGCATGCAATTTTTTATATATTTGTTTTATATTTCTTTAGCATTTGTTTAGCCTTATAGCAATGGCTTGCAGGCTTGTAATAAAAATAAAATTACTACATTGATTGCTATATCAACTTAAATTGGGGTACATTGGGATTAAGTCAGAGTGCTAACCTCCTAGTGGTATTCCCCGGGCAACGGCTACAGCAATGACCCTGGGTTGCGATACCATCGGGAGCAATGTGGGAACCCCCAGGCTTGTCCTGTAAGGCTCCCCTTGCTCCTGGCAGGTTCAACCATGGTGGGACGGATCCCAGGGGAGCTGCTGCTGGCTAATAGCACCTGCACCCGTCCGTACATAGCTGTTCAGGGCCAATCACCCGTCCAGACTGCCAGAACGGACTGAAATAACTCTGGCAAACCAAATGATTACGAAAACCACAAAGTATTACCTGCGATCTAGATCAAAGGTAGCCAGGCGGAAGTCCCCTTCAGACTCTATGACGAGCCAGCGGGAAGCTGGAGCATCACCACAGACTGTTGGCTCTGACAAGTTTCGCCTTCCTACCTTTAAACCTTTAGTAGTATCAACATACAATGTGCGTACCCTCCATCAGAAAGGGAAGTCCCATCAGCTGTTCATGGGCTGCACTGATGCAGGCGTAGACATTGTTGGTATACAAGAACACCGTTTAATAACATCATCTCCTACTGAGGAGTTATGGTCTGATGACAAGAACTGGGTCCTCGTGTACACATCAGCCACAGACCAGAGACTTGGAGGTGTTGGGCTTGTGATCTCCAAGGATATTTACAAGTGCCTCCAAAGTATTAACCCTGTCAGCCAGAGAATACTGAGTGCCACGTTTCATGGTAACCCTGAGACCACTGTTACAGTCGTCTATGCACCAACAGAGTCAGCTAACACCACAGAAAAAGACGACTTCTACAGCACACTTAAAGACCACCTAGAGAGGGTAAAGCCACACAGCAAGCACCTGGTTATTGGTGATTTCAACGCCAGACTAGGCATGGACAGTCACGTGACCCACCCGGCGGTAATCGGCCCCCACTGTTTTTACAGTGAGACGAACGACAACGGGGAGCGTCTTGTGAACCTCTGCCAAGAGCACAAACTTCGCCCAGCGCAAAGTAGATTTCCCCAACCCAGTAAGCGCCTCTGGACCTGGATGCATCCAGGGGGGTCTACACAACAACTTGACCACATCCTTATAAATGGTAAATGGTTAAACTCCCTGCGGAACTGTAGGGCATACAACTCTGTGGAGCTGGACTCAGACCACAGAATCCTCAGCGTAATGCTTGTCTCCAGCCTCCGCACCTCCAAAGGGAAACCATGCAGAAGGCCTAAGTTCAACTGGAAAAAGTTACGGACGGCAGAAACCAAGAAGGAGTTCCAGGTTGAGCTGTCAAACCGCTTTCAGGGACTGGCCTTTGATGATGCCTCCACTCCTATAACAAAGCGCTATGGTCAGTGGGAAAAGGCTGTGGCAGAAGCAGCGGAGAAGGTTGTTGGGAAGTGCAAACCAACTGGGGCTCCTAGCTGGGGTGTCGGAGAGGACTCTGAAGCTCCGGGAGGAGAGAAATCAAGCAAAGAAGAGATACCTACTTGCCAAAACACGTCAAGCAAGAGAGGCCTGGCGAAAACTTAATGACAGTTTAAACAACTCGTACAGGTCAGATGAACTTGACTTCCTGAATCAGCAGTTGGAAAACCTCCAAGAGGCTGACAAGAAGGGTGACTACAACACCACCTGGAAAATAGTAAACTCACTAGCTGGCAAGGGTAGAAGACCCAGCCCAAGAGTTAAGAAGCGCGATGGATCAGCTCCATCCAGTGACTCTGAGCTCCTGGATGAATGGAGGCTATACTTCGCTGATTTGCTAAACAACGACAGTGGTCCACCGGAATCTCTCCCCCCACCTGCTGATCGAGACCTCCCCATCAGCACTGACCCACCTACACTGGAGGAGACAGTAAAGGCCATCCAGGACCTGAAGAACAATAAAGCACCAGGCCTGGATTGTGCAATAACTGCAGAAGCCCTTCAGGGTGGTGGATATGTAATGGCCAAATCCATTCACACATTCTGCACAGAGGTTTTCACCACACTAACTCCCCCAGAGCAGTGGATCACGAATGTCATCATACCCTTACCAAAGAAAGGGGATCTGACCCTGATGACCAACTACAGAGGCATCAGCCTAATGTCCGTAGCAGCAAAGGTGTACAACAAGATACTCTTAATGAGAATCAGAGAACATGTTGACCCTATACTACGGAAGAACCAGGCCGGCTTTCGCCCAAGTAGAAGTTGTGCCCAACAGATTCATATTCTTCGTAGGATCATGGAGGTAACATCTCCGACCCATTCCAGGTGACAACAGGGGTCCTACAAGGAGATGTGCTTGCCCCGTTTTTGTTTATAGTGCTTATAGACTACCTGTTGTTAGAATCAACCAAAGGCACAGACTCAGGCGTAGTTACGCATCCTCGGCAATCCAGAAGACATCCTGCTCAAACCCTTAATGATTTGGACTTTGCCGACGACATTGCACTTCTTGAGTCAACCATACCCAGGGCGCAGGAACAGCTTACTAAAACAGCAGTTGCGGGGAAACAACTTGGGCTCATCATCAGTGTACCCAAGACAGAGTACATGACGTATAACTGCAGCACACAACAGCCGCTAGAGGTATATGGACAGCCAATAAGACATGTTGCCAACTTCAAATATCTGGGGTCCATGATGGCCTCTAGCAGTCATGACATGGCTAAGAGGAAATCACTTGCATGGACTGCTTTTTGGAAGCTGGAGAAGATCTGGAGAAGTCCATCAATCTCCACATCCACTAAACTCAAGCTTTTCAACACCACCTGCGTGACAATACTGCTATATGGCTGTGAATCCTGGGTCATAACGGGGGACATGGAGAATAAGCTAAACGCGTTCGCCACATCATGCTATAGGGTCATGCTTAACATCAAGCGCCTAGACCATGTGAGCAACGCCTGGATCTACAAGTTGACAAACACTCGACCCCTTATCACCATGGTAAGGCAGCGTCAACTTCGTTTCCTGGGACATGCACTTAGGATGCCTGTGGGGGAACCATGCCGAACATATGCCCTGTATGTACCGACGCACGGCAAAAGGCGCCCAGGGCGCCAGCGACTCGACTACCTGGGCTACGTCCGGAACCTGTTGGGGGACACCGAGGGTGACCTGCGGCCAGAGGACATTGCCAACCTGGCGGCGGATCGACGGTCGTGGGGAAGACTTGTGGTCGACTGCTCCGCAGCCGGACGATGATGATCAACTTAAATGTTCTTTCCAAAGTTTTGACAATGCTATGTTTCTACTAACACTAGATTTGTGAACATCAACGTGGGCTGGCCGGGCAGTGTCCATGACGCTAGAGTTTTGAAAAACTCTTTGATATTCAACTTGGCGAGTGCTGGCAACCTGTTTCCAGATGTATGCTTTCCTACTTCTTAACTTCTTCAGTCCTTGTGTATGTCAGTTCTTATACATGTATATTATTCATTGCTATATCAACTTGAATTGTTCCATTCAATGTTTTGACAATGTTTTTACATTTTTACTCAATTATATTTGTATATGTTTCTTCTTATTCATATGTTGTCTTTGTTGTCATTTGTTTGTTATTGTGTTTGTGATAATACCAATTGGAATATTACACTTATCTTGGTGCAGGTGTGAATTGATAAGATGTATTTGGTATCCTCAGGGTATTTGATATGATTAAAGGAATCCATTGCTAGTATATTTGGAAATTTGTGTACTAGTACCTCCACAACTCTTTACTTGTACTAACCTGTGTGGGTAGTACATTGTACTTGGAAGTCCTGTTCCTGTACATTGAACAAATCACACTTCCATTACTAGGATACCATCAACATCAATGGCACAGCCATCCCGATCATGCTCCTGGGTGACCCTGCCTATCCACTGCTAAGCTGATTGAGAAGGGATACCCCGAGACCGGCGGGGTGACAAGACAACAGCGCAACTTCAACTACCGTCTGAGCCGGGCCAGGATGGTGGTGGAGGTTGAAGGGAAGATGGCGGTGTCTCTTGAATAGGATGTATCTCGACATTTCAGCAGTCCCAGAAGTGATCTCTGCTTGTTGTGTGTTGCACAACATTTGTGAGATCCACGGTGATCATGACAACATGTGGCTGAGGGGTACTGTAGAGCGTTATCCTAGAGATGCTTACCAGAATGCCAATGATGCCCAACCCAGAGCAGTGAGGGATGTCCTGGCTTTACTGTTCTCACAGCAAGGAAATGTAAGCCCTCAGTAAGACAGTACATTGTACACATACCCTCTGTACAGTTTGCTATATATTTGTCTCTGTAGCATTTGTGTATGATGTTCTGTTTTCTATACACATCATTTGAAGAATGATTACAATAAGTTTGTTGGAACATGTTTTTCTTTCCATGTGTATAGGTAGTCATAGAACTCTAGTTATTGATTGTCTATAGCATTTGTGTATGATCTGTTTCTATACACATCAATGTCTTGCAGAGATTCTGGTGTTGAGGCTGAAGCAATCATTGCGAAATACCTTGATGAAAGTGCCAGGAGCTTATCTGGAACATCACAATGCAAGGGTCATCGACAAATTATGCACAAGGGTAAATGTCAGACAAGGCCTGTAGCTTCCATCCGGGAACGCCCATGCCCGGTGACAGCCTTAGCAGTAAGTTACCCCAATGTTTGCATAGAGTAAGAGATAAGAAGAAGAGTGAATTTTTCATTTCTGTGCGAGTGTGTGTGTTTAATTGTGTGTGTGTTTCTGTGTGTGTTTGAAATAAAATCACATCAACTTTATTGCTCAACAATTGTAGCTGGTACAATGTATGGCAAAGAAACAACAAAGTTACATACACAAACTAATACTAAAATATGATTTTAGCGGGCTAGTCCATAATGATACTTAAGCTGAGCTAATCTATTGTGTAGAAACAGCGTACATGTACGTCAGGAAGTTATAATCAAAATAAATAATGCATGAGGATGACATGGTTGGTTTCAATTCTTTTGTAGCATATCACATACATGTACATTGTGATTGACAATGTGATTATAAAGCGAATTCTTTTACATAGCAGTATAATTTATAAATTGGCTTGTTAACACTATGAAATCCAACATTTTTAACTTTGCAGGACCCTCTACACACTCTGTCAAAACAATTATACATGAAGCTTTAAATAGAGGATAAAATCTCCTTGGTCAAACGGTGACAGCATGATCCGCTACACGGAGAAGATTCTTTTACCCTACATGGACAGCCAGCGGAGTCAGCTCGGGCTCGCCGCCGACCATCCCGGGCTGACCATCTTTGATGTCTTCAAAGCTCACCGCAACCTTGCCTGACTAAATCTGCACTCCTAGCGGCCGGCCCGGTATTACACCAGCCGCCCCCCTACACACACACACAGAAAATCCGAGAACCAACAATCTAAATTGGTGTGGCCTTATATAAATATATATGCACTTTCTGTCTTGAGAAAAAAAAACAAAATCAGTTGAACTAAAACTGGACATGTGTTCACAGCTTTTTCTAGGTTCACCAGTTCTGCATCATTCTCTGTGGTCCCCAGCAGCCTGTTCACACTCATCTGATGGCCAATTCGCCAGGTGGAAGGTTATGTAAGTCAAACCCTATATTAACAAACTTTTATGAGAGATAACAACTGCATCAAGGCTGGTAATGCACGCGGAATTTCCATCATTTGTTATGACTTTGATTGTTTTAGTATTATGTTGGAAACTTATTACGTGTCACAATATTTCTAAATCTATCCATATGACATTTATGTCTATAATGTAGATTTGTGATAAGGCACATGTGTTGTCTGCATGTAGAAATTATTATTTTTTATTTTGTCTTACAGTTATGACACAACAAAATCTCGGGGAGGGCTCCATCCCAGCCATAGTCTTAACCAGCTCTGGTGGCAGTCGGATTGCCATAACAACAGCAAATGGTATGCTCCTTTCTCCACTCTTAGCATATATTATAAAGACATTCATATGAGAGAAACTATTTCAACTTTAAAGGAATTTGGATTAACAAAGAATATCTTTTGTTAACTGATGATATCCTTATAATATGCCCTATAGGAGACATGCAGCACAATGGCAACCTACTGTCATCAGAGGACATCCCCGCAATTTTACAAGAGCATCTGGCGCACACGAACCCCGGTCCTACATGCACCGCTGCAAGATCTACTGATGACCCAATCTATAGATTGTTGATCACATGTAGGTATTATCTGATGTACTAGTAGTCAAACAAGATGGAACATGGGACCTGATCGTACAAGACATTTTCGTCTTCACACCCAACACTATCATCTATGGATCTCCCCTGCTACATTCACAGAACGCACAAAGTCAAAGTTGTTCTGGGAACTCTCACAGTGTTACATCTGCACTGGAAATGTGGGGTACGAGGAGCTATGAGTAGTGCATGAACTATATATGTCATTGCATTTTAATCTTCTGTATATTCTTGGATTATACTTGTCTTTGTATATCAGTATTTTTAAGTGTATGTCCTGATATGGGCCGTGTGCCTGCAATAAAGAATGAATTGGAATTGAATTGAACTGTAGTCGTTTTCCATCGTACTTGTAACATTTGTAAATCTTGTACGTCGCTAAAACAACGTCTGTAAACAAAGACGACCGACATGTCTCCTTTGCTCTGTGAACGCTAGAGTCTGATGTTCCCGTACACTTGTACTTTTGTTACGTAGGAATTTACTACAATTAGTTTTGAACGATCACGTGTAGATTCACATGAAAATTGCACAAATAAACATCAGATCGATAAACACCTCAGCTGCACTGGTGGAACTAATGTGTGAAAGAAGGAACATAGACATACTATGTCTGTCTGAAGTTTGGAATAAGAAAAAGGAACCAGTCTGCCTAAACACGTGGAGATGGTTACAAAAATGCAGAGCAGACAGAAGAGGAGGTGGGGTTGCCGTTGCAACGAGAGAAAATATCAATACAATGGAAGAAGAAATAAGACAGTCACAACATGCAGATGTGGTTGCTATGAACATTTACACCAATACAATAGGCTTCACCTTGATTTCGCCATATGCACCACCAGATCTAGAAGACAAAGAAGCAATAAAAGAAATAATGGACACAATCAAACAACTGAGAAGAAGACACATCTAGTACTATGTGGAGACTTAAATGCAAGACACCAAAACAGCGCTGAGAAAGTTCAGAGGGAGAAGAGACAATACAAACCTCACAAAGTACCTGAAAGAAAAACAAGTTACTGGAAAAGATGGAGGAAGAAGCACGTACCACACATTGGAACAAACAGCTCTTGGACATGGACAGTTCAGGAGGGTGGCAAGGCTACAGGAGTGGAAGCCTGACAACTACACGCTTTGCCTAATGTTACACCTAGAAGGACCAGCGTTAGAATACGCGGAGAGCTTGGGCGACGTCGTAATTTGGTGGGGTTACACGAAGCACTGTCCGATAGGTTCGGGGTGGCAGAGAAGAGGCAGAAGGCCTTAGATGAGCTAGTACACTGCGGGGGCTGTTGCTGTATGGATACCCAAATACCGATGGGCAAGAGAGAAAATGTTGGTTAACCTGTTCATAAGCGGCCTGGAGCCTTCCAGATTGGCGGACAAGTTGGGGTGCATCTCCCCACGACCGGAGTCTTTGTAGGACATTCGTTGTGCAGCTGCCATGATGGAAGGGAGGGAGACTAGAGTGGTTCACTTGATCGCAGGAGACAACCGAGGGGATGCTAAAGTTGAGGCACTGTCAGAGATGGTTAAGCATCTGGAGACGCGTGTGGATGGCATGGCGTCATTGCTTGGCTCGAATCGAGGCGGCGGTGACCAAGAAAGACCCCGCACCAAGCCCTGTCAAGCGCAGTACGTGTAACAAGGCCAAGCAGACCTAGCCGGTCTATTACGAGAAGGCGGGGCGTACGAGCTGATGAGGAAGCTCATGGTACTACATTTTTTGCCGGCGGAGCACATCCTGCGTGCCTTCGAGACCCTTGATCGCCCAACTGGCAGCCTACTTGGAGCAGGAGTGGGTGACCAACAGCGTGTGGAGCGCGGAGGAGTGGTACTTTCAGCCTGTGTGCACCAACAATGATACCAAAAGGTATCATACTCCCCTGACCAAGAAGGCAGTACTTCTGCATGTACTCCAGCCGATACAAAATCAGCTGGAGGCAGCTAGAACATCCCACACCGACGAATGGAGACAGCGCAGGTAAATATCGAAAAATATAACTTTCGCATGCTAATTCCTCGGGGCACGTCCTGCCACCATAAAATGTGTTTTTGATCAGTGTAAAAGTTATCGCTGCCTACAATTGCACGTATAGTACGAAAGATGCTACAATCATATCACATTACTAAAGTGTCAAACGGAGGGACTTAAACAACGGTCATTCTAACAAGCAACGTTAATTTACAAGTCTCTTTTAAATGTGTGTACCTCTGTAATTCGATTCAGATTCGCCAGTACCAATCGACCAGCTGAAATGCGAAGATGTGAGGTCAACAGTTTCAGCTTGGGTCAGGGCGCTGAATCCCGGCAGCTCCCAACCCAAGTTGGGCGACCCCGCGGCCCGCCCCGTGTACTGGCCAGAGGACATTCCCTTGGGTGCCCCCGTCAAAAGCGCCCAAAGGATACCCGGGAGGTATTAAACCACGATTTTTTTTTGTTTTCTTCCTTTACATTGTTGATTTTTTCATATGAATTGGATTGTCTCAGCTGAATTGAAAATCTTTTGTTATGTATTGTCTTTGTTATGTGTTTTATTTTTTGTGACATGGTATGGGGCTGCCTTAAACATTCAGCCAGATTGTCCATCAACTATTTTGAATTCACCCCTGTCCAAAAGTGGAATGTTCCAAAATAACTTCTGCCCAAAAAGTGAATTGTTGCAAAATGTTACAAGATACTCTATGACTTTTGATTCTAAGTATAAATATTATCTAAGATCGTAAAATGTTCAATGTACTTAACAGAGAAGGAATTACACCAATTCTTTCTTACCCTCGA